GAGAGAGAGAGAGAGAGAGAGAGAGGGAGGAGGTCTGAGCTTTAGTCCAGATAAGCTTCTGGTCACTGGAAAAAAAGAGAACAACAGGCTTTTATTAACTTTGCGGAGAGGCATAAACTGAAGTTTGTTAATTATCCGCTGGTCAGGGCCATGGTCTCAAAAGTTTGCCATCTTGTGTGCAAGCTTTGTGACCTTCTACTCGGTGGACTAATGAGTGTTGGACTTTCCTCAGGAACTGCTGGATGTCAGTTGGTGCCACTGTCTTGTGTAAACATCCCAGCTTTATGATATGGCTGGACAACTTACACTGATTTTGTTGACAAGAAGGCATAAGGTCAAGGTGGGAGAAACCCCTGCCAGCTCCAATGGGTATTGGGCCAAGTTAACCATGTATTGCAGTCCTGGACACATTTCTCAAATGGCCAGAATAGCTACAGGAAGAACTGAACAGAGTTTGCTCAAAGGTTCTGAAGCAGCAAAGGATAGTATCGACATTCAGTACAGATAGAGATGCCAAGCCTTGCATCCTGTCGGAGCCACTTATCAGTATCTACAAGTTCAAGGGAACAATCAGTGCTTTTAGCAAATGAGGTCCTCACGTTCTCACAGAGCAACCTTGGCAGTGATTATCATAATTCACAAGCAAGAAGTGTTATCTGTACTGAAGCTAAGGGCAGTTAATGGAGTACTGCCCAGTTGTTCAGTAAACACTCAGGCTTTCCGGACTAACCCAGTGTTTTTACAGCAAAGCCATGGACTAAGTACCGGATGGAGGCAGAGGACAACATAGATCATGTTTTTAATGTGTAACATGTTAAGAGCCTAGAGTTTATTTTATCACCTCGGAGTGGTCCCTGTTGCAAGACTATAGACACTCACCTGCCTTTGTTGTTTTATTATCTATCTGTCTGTCTAATTTTTGTTGTCTTGGGGGTTGGGTCCATGGTAGGCAAGGGATCTACCACCAGGCTATAATCCTAGTTCGGTCTTTTTACCTTAAGCATAGAATCAAGGTGTAGATATGTAACATGAAAAATAAAAGACCCAGAGACAGATATTGGGGTTCAAGCTTCAAGCAGAAGACCAGAAAAGCAAAGCAGCCAAGCCAGTAGATCTTGCCTCTACCCAGCTGAGATGGCAATCCTGTTTCCACGAATCTTCAGAGGCAAGAGCTCTCAGATCCTGTCTCCTCCTACCATTTATTCCTTTCTCCACCTATTTATTCCTGTCTCCCCTTCCCTAGTGCTGGGATTAAAGGCATGTGATCCTAGATGCTGAGATCACCTTTGTATGAGCTGTTTCTTTTAGACTGGATCAATTTTATATAGTCAGTATGGCCTTGAACTAACAGAGATCCATCTACCTCTTAATCATGAGTCCTGGGATTAAAGGTGTGTGCCACCACTGCTCAGCTTCTATAGCTAGCTAGTATGACTGCTGGGATTAAAGGTATGTATCACCATTTCCTGACCTCTACAGCTTGTTGCTGGCTTTGCTTTCTATGCCCTCAGGCAAGCTTTAATAAATCATAAATAATGTACCACCACAATTAAGAAAGCCTTGTGGTACTGTTACTGGGTTGATTTTCTGCTTTCTGGAGACACAATTAACAACTAAATGTGATTAGGTGTATGAAGTATAGTTTGACTTATATGCACACTTGGAAACAATTGCCATGGAGTGTGGCAATCTCTCATAGCCAAAGTTTAAGCTGTAGGAAGTACAGAGACTACAAATACCACACTGTATACAATCAAGAGAGTGCAGAGGTAGATTGACTTTTTTTTGGTAGGGTAGTTCTAGGGATTGAACCCTGTGTTAAACACATATTCTGCTAACCCCCAACTCCCAGAATGTTTATCTTTGAAACCAAAGGTGAAATGGAAATTATGAGATTTCTGCAGACAGTAATTGGCATGTCTCTTTAGTTTTTTGTTGAAGGTACTTTGTATCATTTTGATTATTTGAGATGATGCCTGGTACTGTCCTGGCTGGCTTCAGTCTCTCTATCCAGCCAGCAATGACTTTAAGCTCCTGGTCTTTCTATTGTGCCTGTGTGCTGTGGTTATAGGCATGGACCTATGGACCACTAGGCACAGGCATAGGGATTGACTTCTGAAAATGCAGAGTATCTATGAAGACAGATATTCAGGAGGGGCTTAGGAAGCATACTTCAGGTGTTTTGTCTTTGAGACGGTGTCTCATCTCACTTTCCAGTCTGTTCTAGCCTTGAACTTATTTATGATCATCCTACTCTCCTGCCTCTGCACCCTACCCCTAATTGCTGAGATTACAGGTATGTACCATCATACCCAGGTCAAGAGATAATCTTTTTATCTATATTTTCAACAAAGACCTCCTTTAAACACATTGGACTCAAAGAAAATGTCTACTTAATTATTTCAGCACACAAGAGACCTCCACCAGTTTCCTGGGACTTTAGAGTATGTCGTGTGGAGAAGGAAACCTGGTTCAACCCTTAGGGAGTTTAGAGTCTGTGCCAGGATTCAAAGTGTTCCAGCTAGAAGAGACATCTGAAAATTATTTCTAGAGTGGAGAGAGAGAGGGGGAAGAGAGAAGAGGGAGAGAGAGGAGAGAGAAAGAGAAGAGAGGGGAGAGAGAGAGAGAGAGAGAGAGAGAGAGAGAGAGAGAGAGAGAGAGAGTGAGAATGAGAGCTTGCTGGCCAGAGAGAGCCAGGCCACCCCTCACATAGCCCACTGAAGGGGTTCAGCTGTTGAGTGACTGCCACTTGATTAACAAAGGCTTCTTCCCTGGGTAGATGTGGTTCAGTGGTAGAACTCTATCTAGTATGCAGGAGGCTCTGGTAAGCCATGTGGGGAGTTAGAGCTTTGAACAAGAAGAGACAGGATTTGCCTTGGATTTGTTTGTTGCTTGTGTTTAGGAGCCAGAGACCCACTATATAACCTAGGCTGGCCCCAATCTTGCTATCTGCCCACGTGCTGGGGTTACTGATCCATTTCAGTAGATCCACCCAGGCTGCTGAGCAGGAACCATAGGGATGTTCCTGCACTGATCTGGGTGAGAGGTTATGGAATTTGGATCTGAGTAGAAAGGGTCTGAAAGGATATGACAGGAAGTGAGCAGGCTGTGAATATATTTCCATGTTTAAATAAAAAAAGTATTTTCTACCTTATTGTCAAGGGACACAATCCAGATAGAGTAGCATTAGTCTGGAATGCTTATGATGGAATAGAGGTCTCTGTATTTTTGTTGTTGTTTTTCAAGACAGGGTTTCTCTGTGTAGATCAGGCTGTCCTTGAACTCAGAGATCCTCAGCCTCTGCCTCCAAAGTTCTGGGATTAAAAGTGTGTGCTACCACCACCTGGCTGTTTGTTTTAATGTGATGCTGGGCATCAAACCCAGAGCCTCTTGCAGATCAGATTATCACTAGAGAGGTACTTCTCTCCCCCTTTTTTTTCTATAGGAAGCTCAAGAACAACTTTATTAGAGGTTAATGCAAACTGGAACAGATGAGATGAACATCCTGGCAGCTGTAAGGAGGAGATGGAGGGAAAGTCAAGCCTTTTAAGTTGGGCATGGAGTACAAATAGAGACAGTTCCCCCTCCCCCAAAGACCTTCCCCTTACTTTTAAGAAGTATGTAAGGTTGCTACTGAAGACTGTGCAAACATCTTGCTTTCCAATAGACTTTGCCCAGTGAGCTTAGCATCCATTACTCCTTTTTGTCTATGCCAATTATTCCCATGATGTAACGCTAATAGCTTTCTCCCCATTGTCTTTTAGATAGGTTTCGTTTGATTATTTTTAAAGGTTCCCTTAAAAAACAAAAACAAAAACAGAAAAAGAAAACAAAATGGTTGTAGTCAGATGTCAGCACCTGTGGCACTGACCAGGCCCATTGGGGGTGGGGACAGGGACTGATGTAACCTGGGGGAACTAAGTCTGGGGAAGGGGCCCCGGGAGCTCTCTCTTGCTTGCAGGACAGGGGACTGGGACAGAGAGCATCTAGAGGCATCCTTGGGACCAGGAGCCTGCTGGTGTTCATCTGTCTCTGTTGTAAGTTATTTCTCCCTAAATAAACATCTATTCAGCCTATCTGTTTTTTCCTGATCCTTATTAAACCACAATAGTGATAGCATGGACTTATGCATTTGAATTTTAATTAGTACCTAATGTTACATTATTTTATCTTGTAAACTTTGAGATTATGAAAATTCCATCATTTCTTCCCCCCCCCCACCAAGTCCTCTCACATATCACAACTCCTTACTCTGTTTCAAATTCATGGCCTTTTAAAATTATTTGTTACTACATGTATGTATATGTGTATACATATATATATTCCTAGATATAGCTCATTCACTCTGTATGTTGTCTCTAGTATGTCTATCTCTAATACTGCATTCTTGCCATCCTATCCTCCTCCTGCTGTGCTGAGGAGCTGATGCACAGCCCCAGGGGAAGTCTAGGTGAAGCTGAAGATGTATGATATCCCTTAAGTTAGGAGAGCACTGTACCCCTGACCTCCACCCTAGCCCATCACTGCCGTTATTGATTTCCATATTGCCGCACACATGGCCAGGGAAGTCACCACAAACTGTACCTATGTATCTTTGCTTTTTTTAAAAATTATGTTTATTTACTTACTTTCATTGACAAGCAAAAATTGTGTATATTTGTGGTGGACAGCATGTTTTGATAAACATGTGCATTCTGGAATGGCTAAACCAAAGCAATTGACACATAAATTACCTGACCTACTTTTTTTTAATGGTTAGAACTCTTAACAACTATTCTGGTTTTAAAGTATGCACTCTGTAGTTTCTAATCACAGTCCCCATTTTGCACAGCAGATCTGAACTACCCCACTCTTTTATCAGTTTCTGAAGATAGATTTTATTTTATAGCACAAAATGGTCCAAATTTGGGGCGTTCTCTGTCTCCGCCCTGGAACCAGCCATTTTTCCCGTTTCATTTTTACCAGGAAATGATGTTTAAAACTCAGGTCTGAGACATAGGTGAACTCATTGTTTATGAAATGTCATTATTCTGGACTTTTACAGAATATACAAAATTATGCAAAAACAAAGAACTGTACACAAATTAGCAGATACTTCTGACTTCTCTCCCACTCCACAGTGCACACTCCAGAATCCTGCTTATACACAAACGATCTCTCATTTTCCCGCTTTCTTTAAAGATAGTCATATATACAAAATTGTGTATGCCGAAGTCTTCTTGTCCTGCTGTGTGAACCTGTGTGCTTTGGCAGCAGGGGAGCAAAGCGCTGTCCAGGAGTTCAGAACTCTCCTTGGACCTGGCCTTGAGGTCACCACAGCGCCTCATCACCGGTCCCGTCGGGGTCCAAGGGTTCATAGGGCTGTAGCCAGTGGTCACTGTCGTTCTCTTCGATGACATGTGGCCCTCGAACCGGCAAAGAGCAGATGCTTAGAGGATCTGGGTGTTCGCTGCCATCGTGGGCTCGGGGCCTGAAGTAGGCGCAGAGTGCCCCCGAGAAAGTGTCGGTGAAGGTGAAGATGTGCGTGCCATCAGACGCGTTGAAGAAGGACAGCTTCCCCGCCTCATAGTCCAGCAGGACGCCCACCCTTCGGGGAGGCACACGTAGTGCCAGCGCCACTCGCTGCGGGTCCAACACGAAGTACTCGCAGCTGTTCCACAGCCCCATCACCCAGTAGCCGGCCGCGGGGCTCAGGCGTGCCGGGCCCAAGCGCTCCACCGACTCCAGACAGGCGCCCAGGAACCAGCGGCTGCGCCGGCCTACGTGCACCTCCCAGTAGTGGCGGCCGCTGCAGAAGCGCTCCCGGCTCAGCACGCACGTCTGCTCCAAGAACCGCTGCGGGCGGTGGGCCGCGAAACTGGGTGCCTCGGCTCGGGAGGACACGCTCTTGAGGTCGTCAGAGACCTCCAGGCTAGGGTGCGCTGTGATGGGATCCAAGGTCACGTCCACTGAGCAGAAGCATAGGGTTAGCATCTGCTGGAGAAGGTTCAGACAACTCCCCTTCTCCCCGCCCCATTCCTCTCCCCTTGGCTCCTGTTTCTCCTCCCTTCTCCTCCCTCTCCCCTCCCCTTCTCTCCCCTCTCCTCTCTCCTTCCCTCCCTTCTCCTCTCTTCCTGTTGGAATTCTTTTAGTTTGTTCAGTTGGAGCTGGTGGAATTGTGTGCGGGAGGATACACACACACACACACACACACACACACACACACACACACACACACTATATCAACTACCCCTCTTCAGAGTGGCACACTCCTGAAGCCTATTCCTTTCCTAACAGAAAAGTTCCCAATCCCTTTCTTAGGTTGCAAATGAGGTAGGTGAAATCTTTTGCAGCCCTTTTCCTCTGGCCCCACCACCTGGTCTGAACAGCAGCTCTGTGCCTTCACTTTATAACAATTTTAGGATTCTTAAAACTACAGGAGACCTCTGAGGTCATCTAATCCACTGACCTACATTCCAAACACATCTACTGGATTGAGATATTGAAGGATGCCATGTTCCCCCCCCCACCCCCGAGTGTGCAAATACCCATCCACCTGTTTTTTGAGACAAGGTCTCCCTGATTAGCCCAGGTTGATCTCTGCTCATGATCCTCCTGCCTCAGCCTCCCAATGCTGGGATTTCAGGTGTGTATCATCTTGCCTGCCTGAGGGGCCCTCTGAGGAATGATCTGAGAGGTTCCTTTCAGACTCTGTTCTTTCTTCTGCAGATTCCAGAAGCTGCCTTTTGCCCTTAGGAAACAAACCCAGTAAAGCCCCAAAAGCTGTGCCTGTGTGTGAACAGCTAGTGTATGAAATGTGTGCATATGAGAGTGTGCAGCATGCTGTATGTATCCTGTGCTCATTTCCAGGAGACAGACTTGGCTCTTGGAAAAACCCCTCCTCTAATGTCAGACCCCACCCTATTTCTTCTATGCAAGACCCAACTCAACTCTGTCACCAGTCATACTTGGCAGCTTCAGTAACTTACCTGCATACTGCTGGGCTGCTCTCCACTCTGAAACCAAAGAGAGAGAAGGGACTCAGAGAGCTCAGCCAACAACTCTGGGTTCAAGAGCTGCCCACAAATTAAATATCCTCATCCTCACCTCTGGTTTGGATTGGACAGGGGTCTAATGGTTATGCTGGGTTCTACCAATGCGGTGTGCAGCCTCATGTTACATTGAGAAGATGGAACACAGAGGCAAGAAACAAGCAGCCTTGGTATCCTACAGGATGGAAATGAAACCTACCTCTGCCTGGCCAAGCTCAGTCCTGGAGGCCCTGCTGAGCTGGGCTCTAACCTAAGATGCCTTCTAGATACCCAGTCTTCTCTCCACAACCCCCCTTTTTATTGTGGACCATTCTGAGTAGATTTTTCTTTAGTTTTTCTCTTGTTCTGTTTTGGAACAGAGAGTTAATCCAAAACAATAGAAGACATTTTTTTCAGGATGCTGGGAGATTAACTCTGGACTTGAATTAGAACAGTCAGTGGAACTTTAAAGATATACAGCTCTTACATGGAATAGCTTAGTTCTAGCAAAATGTTAATTCGATATTAGTTTGCCTATAATTTTAAACCATTTGCCCAAATCAACTTGGAAATCTTTAGAGGAACTGTGTACATTTATTGACTTTAAAGGGAACATTGATGAACTTCCAGAAGCTATAATAGTGAAAAAGGAGTTGGGAAGCCAGCCCATGGGCAAGCGCATCTGTACTGAATATACACTGAAGTTGAAACCTTGCCTCAATGGGAGAGTTGTGGCTGGTGTACTAAATGGCATTGAGAAGACCCATTCAGTACACACAGACAAACCGATGGATTGTCACCTCATACCCAGTGTGAGGACATCTGTAGGAGTGATTAATGACCCATACATGAAACATTATTGCAGTTTGGATCTGAAACCTTCTCCAATGGCCCTGAGTTGGAGGCTTAGTCCTCAGTTCTGCACTATGGGGAACCTTAGTCTTTGGCCTCTCCTGGTTCTTTTTGCTTCCTGCCTACCACAAGGCAAGCAGCTTTCCCTACTCCCTGCTACCTTGCCACTGGCCCAAGTGATCATGGATTACTTCTGAAACTGTGATCTTAAGAAAACCTTTGCTCACTGGAAGTTTACTATTTTCAGGTGACGCAGAAGTCTGAGAAATATAGTATAAAGTTAATAGAAACAATTATAAGATAATAGCATTATGGTATCCTTAGTAAAGATTTTTCAATAAGACTTCAGAAAAATAAGCCATGTGTGAAAGTTTGATTAATTAAACTTTATCAAAAGTAATGATCTTTCTTCACTAAGGGAACATGGACAAGACTAACAGCAAATGGTACAACAGCAAAAAGGAATCCATATTGTTTAATGTGAATAATAATATATGTACATATTAATAAGGATATATATCCATCATATATCAATAAGAACACACACACACACACACACACACACACACACACACACACACACACACAAATGTTCAAAGTCTTAGCATCCAGAGAGGAGCCAACTAATAAAAGGAGGAATGAGAAAGCATTTATCCCTGTGGGCCAGCAAACTGAAAGAGCTAGCTTACACAGGATGCAGGTGGACAGAGCGCCACCATGGCTGCCAACAGGATGATGGCTTTCTGAGAAACCTTTGTCTAACTGACAGCCTAATCTTCCTTCCTGGTTGTATCTCTTAGAGACAAAGGGTGATCAGACAACATTACTCAATGTGGTTTGTACTGGTGTGCAGTGAGAATTGGCAAGAAGGAACAGACTTAGCACACATATGAGGTGGATAGTTAAACAGTGATGCACGTATAGACAGCATGAGACTATAAATGATGTCTACTCAACACTAAAATGCATGTGGTAAAGTAGAAATTCAGATTTGCATTAATAGATACAGAATAAAATATAAATGCCTTATGGAAGGAATATAGGCCCTTATGGTATTGTTAGGGTCCAAGAAATTCCCTTCCGGAAAGCCTGGCATTTAGGCAAGAGCAGCATTCCGTAGGGGACATAAGAAGGTAGTTCCGCTTGATAAAAGGAGTCTCCTTAGCCCTGGCAAAAGTGAAGGACGGCTCTTCCATTAACCTATGCCTGTGATGCCTATTGCCACACCCAGGTCTGGGCTAGCCCCTGGGCTCCCTCAGTCCCAGCTGATGTACTCTGCCCCCTACCATAACTCTCTTCAGTCCCTCAGCTTCACTTCCCCCCCCCCCAGCTTCCCCCATGTAATTCAGCCATTTTGGGTACACATTCTCTTGGTTTCCTTCTTGGCTCTGCTCTTGACTCCTCTCCTGGACCTCATTGGTTCTGTTTTGCCCTCTCTCTTCTCTTCCTCTCTCACCTTTCCCCTCCCCCTCCCATGGGCCAGTGCAGTCTGGACTCTTCCAGATGCCTCTGGCTGTGCTCTCCCTCTTATCTACAATAAAAACCTTCTCCTCAATCATACCTAGGAATGGCCACGTCCTTATTTTCATCCAGGTATGAAGAGAAGTGTTTACATATAAAGTGACATGTCTGCTCTAGACACACAGGCAGTTTGAGGGTGAACATCAGAAATTCAGGTGATTGTGGTGTGTAATCAGGATTGGAAACAATGTTTTCCAACATGTAGCCTCCAGACAACAAATATAAATACAAACATACAACATGTGAAGCTTATGAGGGAAGGTGGGTGCACCAGAAATTCTGACGCTGCCACCTACAGAGAGGAGCTGGCCAATGGTAACATGACTTAGGTTTCTTTTGTTTGCTTTATTGTTTGCTCATTTGTTTGTTGTTTGTTTGTCTGTTTTTGTCTTATAATAGCATGGAAGCTGTATGTATCCATTAGAAAGCATACTTGGAATTTTGACCATTTCTCAGGCTGTTGATAGATAGAGATGCTGGGAAGCCATAGTGAGTCACAGCCCCTGACAGTCACATGATCAGAAGGTATCCATCCAGCACCCCAGCACTGTGCAGCTCACCAGTTATACTTGGTAGATGTATCAGTGCATTTCCAACTGAGCAAATGTTCAATGTACAAATGTACAGTTCACACTATGTTTTCAATTCACTTGTAAATGGAAAATGCCCTAAGTAGAAAATGCCTCTAAAGCATGGTAAGTTAGGGAACTGAGAAGCACTGAGAGGAAGAGAAATTGGATCTACTCACCAGCCTGGCCTTCGGACCGTCTCCAGTCTGAAGCAGCAAAGGAAAGGGGGGGATTAGAAAGTCAGGACACCACATTATATCTATGTCAGTTACCTAAGCCTCCCTTCCCTCACCACCCACACCCACAGCGCAGTTCCAGCCTGGGTATCATACTTGGTTGGGAGAGGAGAGGATACATGGACAGCCAGGTGCAAAGACTGGACAGGAAGGAATGGTTCTGGGGATGGAGGGCACTTACCAAGCTCTGTCTGAAGTCTCTCTGCAAGCAAAACAGAGAGAAACATCAACCCTCAAACCACTTCTGGCTGCAACTCTATCCTTGGTGACTCATTGCCTTGTAGAAGGAGGTTCACCCCCAGGACTTCAGGGCCTTTATCCTACCTTCATTTTAGAGGGACAAATCATCAGGCACCGAGCCAGGGAAACCAGGCTTGGTTCTAAAAGTTTTTCCCCCAAGGATTCAATCTGCTTGGGGGGGAGGTTCATTTTTCCTAAAACCACAAGATTTTCCCAGTGTGTGCAGGGAGAGGTGGGGTGGGGAGCCAGGAGTGCATGAGTAACCCAGATGCCCAGCACCGCCTATGTGATTTGGGGGAGTCATTTGCTGAATACTTTGTTTAAAGGCAGGAAAGACATGACAATTATTTCTCCTGGCCCGATGAAAAGGATCTGACCCTGCCACTAGAACATGGTCCTCTGGTCTCTCCATCTCTTACACTCTTTTAAAAGCAACCAATATATTAATTCAGACTGTTATTTTTGACTCATTGAAGTGGCTTCGCTTGGCAGGGTCAAGTAGTCAGCAAGACGGTGCTCTCTTTCTGTTTTGTCTGGAGTTTTGACAGGACAGTCAAATTTTGGTTCTCTGGATCTTCATTCTATTATGGGGGCTTTCTCACCCCCCCAATTTTGGAGGGGAACTCTCATTCTTTTTTTGTATTTTGAGACAGGGTCTCCCTATGTTGCATGGCCTGAAAGCTACCAACAGCCTTGAGACTGTCTCACTAGTGGAATGCTGGGATTGCCAGTCTTTCTTTACCAAGGAGCCCTTCCTTTGTATGGCCCTCCTCCATACCACACCCCTCCACGTTTTCAGTTGGTGTGTTCCAATGAGAGGAAAAGTAATTTACCAGAGCATTCTCATTTTAGTGCAAGTTCAAGGGACATTTGGGTTAAAAAGAGAACAATTGATTCCAGGGACATGAACTGGAGGAAGTAAATACTCCAGCAGGGTCTGTTCTGAGGTTCTTCTGTTGAATGAACCCTGAAGCCTGGGCACCCCAGGCAGCCCATCTCAGTCTGATTGACACCCAATCAGAGACACCCAAAGAGAGACACTCAAAGATAGATGAAAAACCAGATGGATGTCATCCTTCTCTTCCTCAAAGGAGCCCAGTCATTTGGATTCCCTTTTCTGCTCCAGAGGTGCCCAGCTAAACCCACTTGTCTCCAGCCTCCCCTGTGGTGAGGAAACCAGAACTTACCCAACCGTGCAGCCAGTCTTCCTGAAGACAAAAGGAAAAGAATGTTCTCAGAGTGGGGAGCAACCAGACAGGGCAGGTTATGAACACCAGGCCTAGCTTCCCCAAGTTGTGCAGGCTGAGCCCTGTGCACCTGGAAGCCAACCTTGGTGCCTGGACACTGTCAGTCCGAGCAAACCCTGTCCTTCCCTCTCTCTGCCCTCCTCTCAGATGCCCCCTCCAAGACTGAGGTCTTGCCTTGGGAACCCAGGGGGTTCCTGGGCCCTGCTCTGGAATGTAGGGAGAGGGCAACTCTGCTGGCCCCCATGCCTCACCACACTCCACCACTTTCCTACTGAGAGATTAGCAGCTAAGCTCCTCAGTAGGCAGACAGCAAGAAGAGTCTTGGCTAGATTTCTCTGCTGTTATTCATTGTGCTTCAGATTTTTTCCTGCCTTTTAGTTCTTTAATTGGCAGAGAAAACCGAGCCAGTCCAGACCCCTAGACTGTACAACTACAGAGAAAAACCAGCTACAGGGCCTAATTCATACCTTGGGAGCATCGCTGCTTGTAAAAGTACTGCAGTGCCAGGATGGTGAGCACAGCCAGACTGAGTGGGAGAGCCACCAGTGTTCCCAGGAATGCTTTCTTCCAAGGGGACGTTCTGGGTAGGAATACGTCTGGAAAACATAGTACATGGTGTCTGTTATCTCCAATAACCGCTAAAACAAGGCTATCATGGACCTCACATCCCAGAAAATGTTGAAGCCAGGTATGAACTGGACATGAGGGCAACTGCACAGCCTTCACTCCAGGTGCAATGACAGGACTTGGATAGGAAAGCAGAAGGGAGGGCTGGTATAACCTTCACCTCGTATAACTGGGCGTCCACTTCTGGCTCTGATCCCACACTTGAACGAATCCAGAATCTAAAGATTTGTTTTAGAAAACCAGACAGCTGTTTTCCTGGTTGGAGAATCCATGGGTGGTCACCTACTTCCTGACATTTATCTCAGTTCTCATACCACTGGAAGAATTCTCAACAAAGCCAATAGCTCTTTAACCACAGCAGCTCCCCAAGCAATCCCCAAGGGTGAGATGCAGCTTGGGGCTGTGTGTAAGCCAGGGCAGCTCCAAGAATGACCAGAAGATAAGGAGAGGAGGGCAAAACTGGAGCTTAACCCTGCAGAAACATCTATGTCAGTTCAGTAACTTTTATGTCTGCGTGATCTAATTATTCAAAGGTGATGCTTTTATCTCAGAAGGGTGTTTCTTTAAAAAGTAGGCTTAGCCTTTAAGTATGGTAAATTGAGCCTGAGAGCACAGTGGTTAAGAGCCCCGGTTGCTCTTCCAGAGTCTCATGTGAGGCATTGTACGAAGGCGCTAAACCCCAGCCCTCATCTTAGCCATGCTCTGCTGTACACTGGAGTGACATTAAGCACCCCCCCCACATGTTGTGTACCTATCATCAGTGTCCGTTTCTAGAAAGTTTTCATCATCCCACGCTGTCCACTGGACACCAGCACCTCATCCACTCGGCCTCTAGGCTCATTCACAACCACTATTGCGTTCTCTGTCTGTACTAACTTGACTGCTCTGGGTACATTATGTAAGTGAAGTCACACAGTTTCGAATCTGGTAGTCTTTTTTTTTTGAAATGTTGGTTTTCTAGAACCCCATTCTCAAGGTCTTGTACAAAGGGGTTGACCACACTAGATGTATCCTTCACATACAACTCCTACTGTGCCATCTGCTGTCTGCCTGACTTTGTGGTTAGACCTCCGCCCTCTGTTCCTGTCCCTGTGGTCTCTCCACCTTATACCCATTAACATTAGTGGACGTATGCAAGTATGTATAGGTCTAAAGGTCTATATATGTAATCCTAATGATAAACTATGAATGGTATAAATTTAGATATATGCATATCTAGAAAGAAAAAGGAAGGAAGGAAGCAAACAAGCAAACCCAAACTTTTCCTGATACTAAAAGAAATGCACAGCTCTACGGTTCTCTTTAGGAATTTTTTTTTTTTTTTTTTTTTTTTGTAAATTCTTTTTTCCTTTGAGATGCATGTAAGTCTACTTGAAAGCTAAACAACTTTGACAGCTTTGTTACCCAGGACTACTGTCCTTCAGGACCATCTATTTGTGATGCAAACATCAAGGACAAGATAGCCAAATCCCTTTGTGCTCTGGAAATTTAAATTTCGGGTCTTTCTCCAGGTTGTAACTTCATGCTTGCCTTAGAGATCTGTATACTTTATGTTCCCTTTGGATAAAGACAGCTAGCACAGACTCCCCCCCCCCCCCTAGTTATCAGGGAGATTCAGAATGAACTATGCTTGACACATGATTCTGCTAAGTCAACCTATTTAAGGGCTTGTTACAGTTTGTCTTAAGATCATGCATACAGCCAGTCGTTGTTGGAGCATGCCTTTAGTATCAGCACTCAGGAGGCAGAGGCAGAGGCAGGCAGGTCTCTGTGAGTTCAAGGCCAGCCTGGTCTACAGAGCAAGTTCCAGGACAGGCTCTAAAGCAATACAGAGAAACCCTGTCTTGAAAATAATAATAATAATAATAAAGATCATGCATATAGTAGGTTGTCTTTGCCTGATACAAAGGAAGATGGTATTTTCTAACTATTGATTTAAATTTACAGGAAAAATAACTGATAGGTTAGATTTGTCTTCAAGTCTTAAAACAATAAAGACTTTGAGGGCCAGAAAGATGGTTCAGCAGTTAAGAGAACTTGCTGCTCTTCTAGAGGACCTGTATTTGATTCTCAGCACCAACATAGAGGCTTACAACCTTTTGTAACTCCAATTCCAGGGGATCTTATGACCTCTTCTGGCATCTAAGAGTACCAGGCATGCAATTGGTACATAGACATACATGCAGGCAAACAGCCATACACAGAAAATGAAGTAAAATGTAAAACAATAAACTTTGAAACCAAGCAATGGCTGAAATCTGAACTCTGCCTGAACATCTGCTCAGCCGAGTCACTTTTTTATGACTCAGAGCCACATGATGTTACTCCCAGGTGCCCTTTCCTGCTTCTCAGTTCTCTCTAGTACTACCTACTAAGGCAGGCTACATTTACTCATATCATCATCTGAATCCTTCCCTGGGATGGGGTCAGGATTTGGAGTTCTACACTCAGTGGCTCGAGGGACAATATTAGGAACAGATGAGTTCCCACAATGATCTATAATGAGCTTTATGCGTTTGGTGCATGACCTTTGCTATAGAAATGCTGCTGCTCTGGGCCTCATTGCTTACTACTTTGTTGTCAGCTGCACTCTCAGAGTTACTCTTTTTTTGTTTGTTTCTTTGGTTTTTTTTTTGAGACAGGGTTTCTCTGTGTAGCTTTGAAGCCTGTCCTGGAACTAGCCTTTGTAGACCAGGCTGGTCTTGAAATCACAGAGATCCGCCTGCCTCTGCCTCCCGAGTGCTGGGACTAAAGGTGTGCACCACCACCACCTGGCTCAGAGTTACTCTTAGCAAAGTAGATTCAGGTTTCAAAGCCAACCTATCCTATACTCAGCCAGGCCTCAGAATCCTCTGGGCCAATCAACAAGGAGCTTTTGATGATTAGAAAGATCTGTGTTAGCCAGTGCCTACTGACCTGCAACCTGAAGCGCAAACTCTTTCTTCTGGGCCAGCAAGGGGTTCTGGATTGAGAAAGACACATTGCTATAAGCCCCTCCTCGGACAATCACAGATGTGTCCAGACTGAATAGGCCCTGGGCGTTCTGGATGATGGCTTCAGACTCTGGAGGAAGGCACTGCCCCTGGTGGTCTCTCCACTGAACCTTTGGCTTGGGATACCACCCACTGGAACTGCATCGCAGCTGAATGCCTCCTTCATTGAAGCCCTCAAGGGAGAAGTGTGGGACTGAGCCCAATCCTGGGAAAGCAGGAGTGTGGAAGATCAGGCTCACGTCTAGAAGCTATGCATAAAAGTTCATGCCACTGTTCACCATCAGAGGTCACCATAAGATGCCAGGAATAGACTCTTCTTATGTATGCAGTGCCCTTCAGCTATGTAGTGCCAAAGACAGTTTAGATTAGGCAGGGACATTAGGAAATATTCAGAGGAGGGCTATGTGCATTAAGTTATATTGTGCAATAAATGACCCCACCACATTGAAGAAAAGTTTTGTGCAGAATTCCAAGATAGTCCTCTGCCAATTCTCACTATATCTCAAATGTCTATGGTATATGCACTTCCTTCCCAGTCAAACAGACCTGGCTTTGCTATCTATCTAGCTATCATTTACCAATTAATTATCAATTTATGTGCCAGGAGTCAAACCCAGCTCTTGTTCTTTGTTCATCTAGGTAAACATCCTATCACTGAGCAGTATCCACAGTCATATATTTTACACTTGCAAATTATTAATGTGTGTGTGTGTATGTGTGTGTGTGTGTGTGTGTAATATATCCTGAGCCATATTTGTTGGTGGGGCATATGGTTTTAAGACTGACCACTCTGCATCCATGTAACAATAACCCTCAAAGAAAAATAGACTATCAGCTTGCAGGTGCAAGGTATGGGAGGGGTTTGAGAGTAGGTAGCTAAGAACATGTTGAAATATTAATGTTGTTTAAATGCCAATGATGTATAAAATACATACCAGGAATACCCCAGGCCTTTTTCCATCATTTTTAATCCTTACATCCTCATTACTTAGGCAATCAAATTCTATTAGCTTCAACCTTGCACTTCTTACATTTCTTTCTATGATATTCCCCTTTATTTCTTGTGCACAAAAATGTACATCATCATATTTCTTTTGCATGTTTTTCTCGTCTTACTAAAGGACTCTAGGAATCACTACACATCTGTTCATTGAGCTCCTTGTCTTTCTGGCTTCAGAATGTGGACAATGATGATGAACTACATTCGCTCCTGTGTGTTGGTATGTAGCAACTTTTGATGCTCAAGAAATTCTAAATAATACTACAAATACTAATCTTGCACTAATGCCTATTATACCTTGTTATTATGGACTAAAATGATCTTTTCAACTGTTTTGAAGTCTCAGTATTTTTTAATGAACGTTTTCTCCCTTTTATTTGCTGTATATGGACTTGTTGGAATATCTTTTTTTAACTTTTTAAATACTTTTTTCCCCTCCTTTTTCTGGTACCAGGGATTGAACCATGGTCTTGTGCGTGCTAGTCAGGCACTAGACCTTTGAAGTATCTCTCCATGCCCTGCTCAATGTTTTAATACATTGTGTTTGTTTGTTCTCAATCTGAGATTCCCTGTACAATTCTGTCTCCTTGAGTATAAGGCAGTCTCTCCAATCTGATCTTTTTCCTGTCCCTGCTCCTTTTTCTATCTTCTGCTCCTGGCTGGCTCCAGAACATACCTGCTACTTCCAGCTCCCACATGGCTTCACCAGAGAAGTTGGGAGAAAGAAAGCGGCACCCATATCGTCCCTCGTCAGAGGGAGCCACGTTGAGGATATGTAGGGTCACGCTGCCATCTGCAATGCCATTAGCTTTGAAAATGGTCCTGTTGCGAAATTGCATCATCTGCGGGCTGGAGAGGCCCTGCTGTCCCTGGTACAGGTACACCACGTTTGAGACCTGGGTCCGGAACCAGCGGATCTCCATGTGCTCTGCATCCTGGTATGGCGACAAGTGGCACGGGAACTCCACCATTTCCCCGACAAAGGCCAACATGGACTCTCCAGGACCCAACACCTTGACCTCCTCTAGGACAACAATCCAAGACAATGGCCAAGATCAGCTCACTTCAAACTTAAGTTTATAAATTCACTTCCTTTTGCAGATTAGAAATCTATAGCAAATTATTCAAATGACAACAATGAGTTGCTCTCCAAGAACAACCTGTGTGGTTTCCTGGAGAAGCCATTGTCATAAAAAAAAAGTTATTAGAGTATGAGTTAAAAATGCATTTATACACACATTCCAACCAAGCACACTGTGCAGGGCTGGACTGAACTAGTTACTGGTTTGAAACAATTAAGAGTAGATGATATTTGGGGAACTGTGTAAATATGGTCAGAGGAGCACACTAAATGCAATGTTTGACAAAAAATTCCATATTAAATAGAATAGAAAACTGCATATTTGTGTAAATGCACCAAGAAAAAGATCTTGAAAGAGAGAAGCCATATGGCTGATGGCAGTGATTTCTATGCAATGAAAATGGAAAGTCTTATTTTGTCCATGTCTTAGCTAAAATTGCTGTTGCTGTGATAAATGCCATGACTGAAATGAGAAGGGAAAGACTTATTTCATGTTACAGGTAAGTCGGGGAAGGTACTCAAGGCAAGAACCTACAGGCAGTAACTGAAGCAGAGATCCTGGAGGAATGCTGCCTATGGTCTCTGTTCTCCGTAGACTGCTCAGCCTGTTTCTTATATCCCCCAGACCTCCTGCCCAGTGTGGCACCACACACAATGGGCTGGGCCCTCCCATGTCAACAATTAATTTTAAAATGCCACAGGCTTGCATGCAGGCCAATCTTATGGAGGCCTTTTTTACAAGTATGCTTCCCTCTAGTCAGATATCTCTGATTTGTGTCAAACTGATAATAAACTAGCCAAGACAGGCAGTTATGAACAGCCTCTGTAAAAACAAAATATATGGGAACATATCTATGGGACTACTCTGTTCTGTGTATTTTCGTTTTTAAACGCCTACTGAGTTGTGCTGTTGAGAGATTTCTCTTCTTTCGTGCCATCTCCACATGGTCTCTCTGCTATCCTTATATTAGTCCCTTTCCCCTTTTCCAAATTCAGTTAAAACTTTTTCACCAAACTCAAACACCCTACATCTCCCTCCCCATCCTTCGCTTTGCCTGTAGAACATGTATCATTTTGAACAAAACTGTTTGCCTCCCTGATGAATCCCAGTCAATCCGGATCACCTTCCTACCAGGCTCCCTCTCCAGGGTCTTTAACTGTCCTTCTCACACACCTGAGAGCTGTCCTCTTTCTCTCTCTCTCTCTCTCTCTCTCTCTCTCTCTCTCTCTCTCTCTCTCTCTCTCTCTCTCCACTCCATATGTACTTTGCAAGGCTTTCCAGGGAAAAAGAATTGCTCTTAGCTGTGCTTATCTTTGTTCCTGGCAAATGTATAGGGGAAACAGGGCCTGGTGAGCTGATGGAAGGCATCAAGTAGTATGGCTCTCTAACAAATGGCATAGAACTAGCGAATAGTGGTATATAACTGTAATCCCAGCAATTGGAAGGCCGAGGCAAGAGGATTGTGAGTTCCTGGCCACCCTAGGTTGCATGGAAAGAATCCATCTCAAAAACAAACAAACAAACAAACAAAAACAAAACAAAAACAAATGAAAAAGTTAACCAACCAATGAAACAAACAAACAAACAAACAAAAAATCCAAAACCTTGCATAGCCATTCTTTTGCATTTTAGCAATTAGTATGGTCTGCTGCTGTGTTATGAGGACCCATTCCTACAGGGCACCTAGCAAAGGTAAGGGCAGGGTTTTCCCAGTTGCTCATATACTACCTGGGTGAACTGAATATGGCTGCAGATCAAATACACTACCTGAGTCCACCTCCCGCAACTGGTGGAAGAGGAGAAGATGGATGAAGAAGATGCTGCTGCACCATTGCTTCAGAAACACTGGGAATATTGAGAAGTCTGCCATCTGTCAGCAATGCAGGCCACCTAGAAAGTAGTAAACATGCTGGGTGAAATGGGCAGTGAGCCTTTGCCCAGCAGACCTGAGATCAGCTGTTGCTTTCTTATTTTGGAGCTCCACATCAGGCCCATAGCTTCTTTTAAACCCTGACGGGATATGAGAACTGCTTCTAATTTTACCAGGAGATGTTGTTACCAATGGGCTTGTTGGAACTCATGGATCTGTGAGCGGACAGGGCTGAAGGGTCCCAGAGGAAGCCAAGTATTGTTTAGAGTCAGGAATGGAGCCATACATTGTGTGGGGGCTCAGTGTCACCCTCCTCTGGGTTAGTGACTGTCCCCAGAGAATTGGAAATCTCAGAAGAATCTCAAATGCAGTTTTATCTCCCTTCCTTCCTACTACTGATCACTTGTGTACAATTTTCTTTGCCCTAGAACATCAGGTTCATAAGACAGGGGAACAGAGAACTGTTTTTTTGGGGGGAGGTGTTAATTTTTTTTCCTAAACAGAGTATATATCTGGTGGCTGCCTGCCAACTTTAGGGGCATTCTGGGACAATTTCATCTGTTCTGATCCCTCAGGTAGTGCTTTTAGGGGTTAGCTAGTCCCTGTTCTCATGTCTATAGCACCTTTAGGCCCAGGTGATGGAGGGAGGCCATCTGGAAAGCCCTTCTTTCTCCTGTGGTCCAGAAGACTCAGACTCAGCCCACACAGGGCTGTCTCTTCTAGCTCTAAGTCCCCCTTGGACTCTGTGCTAGCATCTAAGCCTAGCAGCCAGAGAGTCTCACATGACCAACACATCTTGCAGTGTACACTGTCTCTCCACATAGCTTTTTTATTTAGTTGTGGGATTTAAGGCTGGTTTTGTAGCTGATGAACCTCAATGTTCATGCTTGAACAATGGAAGGAACCACTGTCAAGGGAAAAGTTTAAGCCTTCTATGGGTTGACAAGATGCTGTTTGAATTGCATGTGATGGTGCACACCTGTATCCCAGAATGCAGAAGGCAAAGGGATCATGAGCATCATGAGAGCCCAGACTCTGTCTCAAACACAGAAATAAAGACATACTCTATAAATAGAAGTCCCACCTCCTTCTCTCTCCACTTTCAAAACATCAGTTTTCCATTTTCTTCTAGAGACCGTTTATCCCATCATAACAGTTCCCACTGGGGAGAGGATATTCAGTGGATTTTTACTATTCATTCTGTTAGTATTCAGGCATCTACACTCTTCTGCCCTTGGTGTTCTGAAAGGATAAGTCCTCAGCTGCAGCCACTAAGAGCACCACCTGTGCACATTCACTATGCTCCCGTTTAAAAGCGACCTGCCCACCTCCCATCTCCCTCCCTCTCCCTCCTTCCCCCCTCCGTGTGTGTGTGTGTGTGTGTGTGTGTGTGTGTGTGTGTGTGTGTTCCTCTCTCTCTCCGCTTTTCTGCCTGTCTCTCTGTCTTTCCCTGCACTCTCTCTCTCTCTCTCTCTCTCTCTCTCTCTCTCTCTCTCTCTCTCTTTGCCTCTCCTCTTCTGCTGTGCCTGTCCCCAGAAGTCAGTCTCCCTGCTCTCCTTTCCCCTTTTTATGATCTCTTTCCCCTAATAAAAAACCCCCTCCACATGAACTCTGTCGAAATAGTGTCTTTCTGTCTCAGGGTATTTTAAAAAAAATTACAACACATCCCTTTTCTCCTCTGTCTTTTGGCACCCTATTTGCCGTGACTTAGTGATGCTCACATTGCCTTTGCTTTAGTTGAGCATCCGCCACACTATCTGAAACCACTGGTAAAAGATGTAGAATTGTACAGCAGAAAAGCAGTCATAGGAAGAAACAAGGAACTGATGAGGGCTTCTTGAGCAGTTTCTGGATTGGAAGGACACAGACTAGTAGGAACACAATAGTGGGGTTGGAAAGGCCAAGGTCTGATAAGTGAATGTGCCAGGGGTTCCAGGGGGGCTTTGGAGCTCAGACTTAGTAGGCATGGAGGGAAGGCAGAAGAGCCTTCCATTTGTGTTTCAGGATTCTTTAGGGGGAGGGAGGAGGGTACACAGTCCTCTGGAGCCAACCTGCCTGTTTTGATGTCAAAACTTACTGAGATTATCAGTTGTGCAATAACTAACAAGATCAGAGGTCCTGGGCAGAGAGCAAAGCTCGGGGGGGGGGGGACAGTGAGACCTCTTGTCCTTTGTGGTTGATGACAGAAGTGTGTATGTGTCTGTCTGTGGCAGCTCTGGCAAGTGGCGGCAAGGCATCTGAAGCCACACTGGCTTTGTGTTCTCCATCATCTTGTTTCCATCCCTTCCTACTTGTGCCTTAGTCCTATGGACCAGGCATCGTTTAGAGCCCCAAGACAGCAAAGCCATGTGAGGCACATCATCACCCAGATAGCAGCTTGCAAAGCAGTGAGACTGAGGCTGTATTTATGGGTCCAATTGGATGAGCTCCAAAGTGAGGAATTAGTCAGCTCTGTTAGGCGGCAGCATGGTTCTACTCAGGAGAGGGTGTAAGGGCAATAGACAGGTCAGCCTAGGAGTTTGTTCTTTCCCAAGTGGTAAGCAAGTGGGGTAGTGTTTTCCAGAATTGCTAGAGGATCCACAGTCCTTTGTTGTCATTTCTCTGTTGTGATATACACACATGATTTCCATCACTGAAGCTATAGGTAGAGGTTGAAAATACAGAAAGCACATCCTCACATGCCCCCTTCCCATGCACACGCAACTCATACATATGCCCACAGCAGTAAACACAAACATAAATTGAGCACTTATTTATCAAACACCTATACCATCAGTATTACTGCTACTTTTACCAATAAGCTCAAATTACAGGTAGGGAAATCAAGGCATGCGGGGACCTTCACACACAGCCAGAGGGTGGTAGAGTGAAGTTTCTATCTCAGCTGTTGTTTACAGCACCTGTTTTCTCTCATCCAGCTTCCCACCAGTTGTGTTGTGTCAGGTCTGGTTTTAGCTTTCAAGTGCATCAATAACCCGAAACCATGACACTGTTAGGGACCACCCAGCCTCAAGCAGGGCTATGGTCAGCTGCACTAAAGAGACTAGATCACAGGTATCCAGCTACAAAACCAACAAATCAGTGCATTTAAATTTTACTGCTAATTAAAGCAACTTAAATCAAAGTGTCCCTAAGACTTTGTCACTAGTATTTTAGATGGGAATTGCAGGTATTTAGTCCCTTGTTCAGTATTCAGGGGTGTCTGCTGGATTGATAGCCTTTCATTGGAAGCCAGTGGTCAGGCAACTTCCTCAAGGGAATGGAAGAGATTTTCCTAAAGTGCCTTTATGGATGAAATACCACATTCCTCCCCATTGCTACCTGGCTGCCTCGAGGTCCCTTTCCCACCTGTCCTTCAGCTAAAGGCTCTAATCCTTCCTGGAGTGGGGCTGCCCCCAAGAGGGAACACTTTCTAGTTCCTGCCATTTGCAACAAGCTTGAATAGAGCTCCGTATTCTGATTCTGGTGGAGAAGTTTGGCTGGAGAAAGGAAGAAGCTAGGCATGTTGAATTTGAGTTGAGCATGGAGACCTCGGTGAAGGGGGCCTCAGACTTAGCTAAGCTGTGTTGGTGGGGACCATATTCTCTCTGCTCTGCTGGGATCTCCAGGAATGTTCCTTTCCTAGGACATGAAGGATAAAGGGCATATTGAAGCCCATCTCTTACTTCTGTTTGGCATTGCTGCTTTTGCAAACCACAATTGGTGTGTTACATCTTGCTGCTACCCACATGAGCTCCAATGGGAAAAAAGCCTAATGTACTTCCCTCCCTTTTTCCACTCCAGTGCCCACTACTGCTCACTGGCCTAAACTAGTGTGATTTTAGTTGGCCCATAAGAGGATTACCACTGTCTTAGTCTCTAGGGGCCAAGTTGCTTTAAGAATGATTTCTTCATTTGCAGGAGGAAAAGAATGCATCCAAGTCTTGCCTCCTCAGAGGGGCCAGCCTGAATGGGCATCTCTCCTAAGACACCCCACCATCTCACAAAATCACTGGGATCAGGCAATAAGAGTGCTTTTCTATGATATGCTTCCCCCAGGGTTTCTCTCTGTTTTCTGTTTCTAGAAGGTTCATACAGGTGTTGCAAAGGAGCCACATACCTTTCAGGTAACAGCAAAAGATCCAAGTGGCAGACAGACGCTGGTAATCTCACCTTCCTGTAAAGGGGATGATTGTGAAGTGTTAGTCCCTGATGCTTAAGAGTCTTTTGACGTGGACTGGCAACTGAGCTCAGGAAGCGGGGTGCAGCTCATGAAGGACAGAAATACCTACCCGCCTTCTACCTTAGGACATAAGCTATTGGCTCTGCCCTTTGTTATAAATACCAGAATAGACAGAACAAAATGAGGAAGTCTCCGTCATATCCTATCCCTGTGTGGAAAATTGCATGCTCAATTCCCATAGAAAATGTCTCTCCAGGGTCTTAGAAAGAGGCCAAAGGTACCTGAGAACTTTATTGGAATGAGCTGCATCTGCAGAGGCTAAGAGTGGAGAAAGGATGCCCAAGCTGGCCACCCAGGAGTGCTGGGTAGGTAAAGCTGGATATCCAGGGGGCAGAATGGCTTTCTCAGGCTAGCCCTTCTCTCTCCCCAGTCACACTGAAAGAGAAAGAGATTGGGCTGAAATCTCCATTAAAACCTGGGATGTGCTTTTGTGCCCCACTCCTACTTAAGCCATTGTACCCCTCTGCAGGGAAACACCGGCAAGGAAGTAGCCTGGGAACTTTGCCATAAGCAGACTTACAACAGCTGTTCATATACAGCTTGGAAAGAGCGGATATCAACATTTCTCTAATGAAGCAGAACACATAAAACTGAATGGAAGAGAGGCCCGCTAGAGGTGGAGAATCCACTCCTCTCTTGAGTTTGTTACTGAAAGTGTGTCCATTTCCTCAGGTCTCTCCAGTCATTTGATTCACCTCTGTCTGCACCTTCAACCTGCATCCTTGCTTTTTCATTGCATTCTTGCCTCTTATCTCTCCAATGAGCAGGGAAGCAAAGCTGTCTGTTACACCCACTGCCCAGGCACAGGACATTCTATCTGCCTCATTTCTGT